GGCTCAAGTGGTAGAGTGCTAGCCTTGACCTGAAGAGCTGAGGGACAGCGCCCAGGCCCAGAGTTCAGGCCCCATGACCGGACCCAAAAAAAAAAAAAAAAAGAAGTCCCTCCAAATTCATTTGAGATTTAAGAAAAAAATATAACTTCGCTCCAAAGTTAGGACACTGTGAATATAATATAGGAAGTTCCCATTTGTTAAGATTCATCACTGTCTTTTAAGAGAAAGGGACATTAGAGAGAAAGCTGAGATTCTGGCTTCCTTTTTTGGCATAAAATGTAGCATGTTAACAGCCATGCTCTGTGCTTTGGAGAAGAAAGGGGCAATTGCACAATAGACCATAAAAGCCAAAGACTGAAAGAGCAGAAGTAGCCTTTCCCAGGGCAACTCAGTTCTCAGCTTGGCAGTGGGTTAAACCAGTTCATTTTTTATCTTAGAAATTATAGCAAAAGGAAGTGGCACTGTGGCTCAAATGGTAGAGTGCTAGCTTTGAGCTGAAGAGGTGAGGGAGAACGCCCAGGCCAAGAGTTCAAGCCCCATGACCGACAAAAAAAAAGAAAAAAAAAAGAAATTATAGCAAAGTATCATGGTCAGTTGGTGGTAGGATAGTTAATGCATTTGAACTATAAAGAGGATATTTTACAAGGTTAACTTGCAGTATTGTAAAAAGAAAGGAAATTATAGCCACTTTATTTAGCTTGCATTCTTTTAGACTTAAGTACACTCCTATTTATATTTTACTCTAGAATTTATTTTTTTTGGGGGGGAGAGGGGGTCCAGTAGTGGTGCCTGTCCCTCAGCTCTTCTGCTCATTACTCTAGAATTTAAAAGTATAACTTTTTATTTTTCAAAAGCCTGATATTAAAGGAATGATTAATAATATCCTGAATTTTTATCTTATTTTATCCCTTAGCAATTATAAGAAAGAAAAGAAACCAGTTAAGAAAAAAGTGATAGTTGTTTGGTGGGAAGCATCAGAGTTTGAATTCTGCAAACTCAAGTTTTGGTACTCTTGTTTAAAAAGAAAGAAAGAAAGCTATCAAGTCAAACAATCCTTTTTCTCATGTTATTAATGTCACCTTTTGTCACTTAAGATTAGACTAATTCTAACTTTTTTCTTTTGTGCCTCTGAGAATTGAGCCAAAGTCCTATCCTATGTCAGGAAAACACTCAGTGGAGCTACACCTCTAGTAGTCCCCATTTTGGCTCCTTCCTTCCCTCCGTCCATCCCTTCTTTCTTCCTTTCCCCTTCTCTCCCTCCCTCCTTCTTTTTCTTATATTAGTTAAAAGAAGTAAGGCTGTGGTGGGGTTGGAGCAGGTGTTAGAGTAGCAAGGATTTTGTTGTGACATTTCCACATGTGTATATAGTGTATCCTAATCAATTTTGTCCCCTTTATCACGCTCCTTTATGCTTTTCCCCCTTTAAAACTATCCAACAGGGTTCATTGTTCTATTTTTACACATGCAGACTATGTCAGCCATTTCATTCTCATTTACACGCTTTGTTATACTCCTCCTTCCTCCTAGTACCTGTCTCCTAATAGAGGCTATTTTACTTTCCAAGTGTGTGTGTGGGAGGGGGGTAGGTGTATGTGCACGCGTGTGTGTGTGCACGAGTACGTGTACATGCATGTGCCAATCTTTGGGCTTGAACTCAGGGCCTGGACACTGTTCCTGAGATTTTTTTGCTGAAGGCAGTGCTCTACCACTTGGGCGACTGCTCTGCTTCCTGCTTTTTTGGTGCTTAAATGGAGATGAAAGTCTCAGGGACTTTGCTGCCCCTGGCTGACTTTTTAAACTGCAAAGTGGCTAGGATTACAGGCATGAGCCACCAGCACCTGACTCATTCATTTTCTTTTTTAGTATTAATTGCATCCACTGGTTTCACTATGGTATTTCATGTGTACACATATTTTATTCAGAATAATTACATGATTGTTGCTCTATTGCTTTCTCTTCCCTCTCCTCCCAGACTGTGTCATGGATCTGCAGCTTTCACTGAGACTCCTTATACTGTCTTTATAGTCAGTTGCAATGTATTTTGAAATTACTTACTCTTTTTTCATTTCTCCCCCTCATCCTCCTAAATAGTCCCATATTTAGAATCATGTTCTATGTATGTGTATATACAGGTATGTGCACACGTGTATGTACATGCATAGATAGATATACATGCCCATTTGGCTTTTTGACTCTAAAAAGAAAAAAATGTATAGAACCATAAAGTTAGCTTTATCTGCTTTTTGTTGCTAAGTTTTTGGACAGAATTTATAAATGGGTTTCCTATTTACAGGCTAGTAGAAATAATAGAAATTAAGAGCAACATCTTTAAATTCAGAAGCCAAATTGTTGTTAAAGATTTTTCATTTCTAGAAAGTGACTATATGGACAGATCTTTGGTTTAGAAAGCAAAATACTATTATCAGTTTCAGTTCCTTTTCATGAACTACAAAAAACAACAACAGAAAAAACCGAAACCCTTCACTAGAGAGAATTTTGGTGTTTGCAGCCACAAAAAGAATCTGAACAATATTTCTTTTTACTAGACTAACTTAAACTCCTCATCTAGTGAATATTTTCTCCCTCCACCTCTGTAACTTGTTTCCTGAATAGATATTCCTCCTAATGCACTTTGGAGTGTGGTAAAGTGATAAGAGCACTTGCGTAGCAAGCTAGCAAGCTTGAGGCCCTGAATTCAAACCCCAGAGGGGGAAGGGATTCTTCCTAATCCTCTCACATGGAATTCTAAAGCCTGCACTGCCTTCTTGTGTTCCATGTTATCAAGATTTGCTTGTTAGCCACCAGCTGGACTACACAGGGAGTTTCTGGGTCCCATGGGTTACTTAGCAAGACCCTGTCTCAGATAAAAGTAACAAAAAGATTTGTTTTTGTTACTTAAAAATTACTGGTTATGGGCTGGGAAGGTGGCTCAGTGGTAGATTGCTTGCCTGGCATGCTTGATGCCCTGGGTTTGATTCCTTAGCACCACATAAACAGAAAAAGGCAGAAGTGGTGCTGTGGCTCAAGTTGGTAGAGTGCTAGCCTTGAGCTGAAGAGCTCAGAGACAGCGCCCAAGCCCAGAGTTCAAGCCCCATGACTGACCAAAAAAAAAAAAAGACTGGTTATTATCTGTCTAGCCCTTGAAATTATTGCTAAGCCAGGCTGCTCATTCATTCATTCATTCATTCATTCATTCATTTTCGTGTGTCAGTCCTGAGGCTTTGCTCAGGCTCCTTTGCTGAGGCTAGTGCTCTGCCACATGAGCCATAGCTTTACTTCTGGCTTTTTGGTGATTGATTGGAGATAAGAATCTCATGGACTTCCCTGCCCAGGCTGGCTTGGAACCACCCTCCTTAGCTCTCAGCCTCCTCAGTTAGCTAGGTTTTAAGCATTCTTTTTTTTTTATTTTAAATACAAGGGAGGTTTCATTGTAGCATTTCCACACTTGTAAACAATATATCTTGATCAATCTTACTTGCTCTATCACTTACGCTCCTCCTCCTCCTCTACCCTCTTAATACAATTTCAGTAGATTTCATTGTTCTACAATATACATTCAAATAACTGCATCAACTATATTCATCCTTATCCATCCCCTTTCACAGATCTTCCTCCTCCTACTGTTCCCTTCACCCTTTTAAAAAAAGATGCAATAGTGCAAAAGCAGACATCTGGAAAGACAGAGTGGACTAATTTTACATAGCACAATATAATCTTGGCATTTCATGTGTTTATTGAAAGAGTTGTCAGTATAAGTGATATTCCTCAAATAGTTAGAATTTCCATGGGTTTTCTAGAGAGAAAAATGTAAGTTGTATTTATTAAAATATGCTGGTACTTAGGAAATTTTAAATTATATTTAATAGATATTTGCCTAGGCTTAATTTTTGTTCTGGTAATTGCTCAAATTTTTGGAGGTAAGATATCATTGGCAACAACAACAAAAATCCTCTATAAGGATGTTCTTAATGCTTCTTTGATCTCTGGGTTAAAAAAAGATTTAATGTAAAAATGAAGTATATTAATTTTACATGACTAAAGAAAACAGCAAATCTGATAACTACTCCTAGGAAGGCTAGTTTCAGAACCCTCTGAACCTGACAGTAAAAGAATTTGGTTGATAAGAACCTCACATGTTCTGCTAATAGGGATTCTTGGCACTTTTAACATCATCCCTTTTGCTTCCTTTTCTATTTCTCTTCTAACTCTTTTTTTCTAGGGCTGCTCTTTTAGTAAAGCTAAACAAACTTGGCATCCTGCAGCCTTACTAACCTTTGTTAATCCGCCTGCCTGTCACATCTTTGTATGGCATCCGTGTTCACTCATGGGAACAGAGATTCTGGAAGGAGCAACAGCAATAACCAAGGCAAATGAGGGAAATGGCTGCATGGATTGTCTGCACGCGTGGGGCATAGGTTGTACTCCATTTTCTTGACATAGTGGAGGTTTTCTCTTACACTAACTTGTTAATTTCATATGAGGGAGAGTGAGAAACACTCTTTGTCAGCCCTTTTGAGAAATTTGGTTGTGTATTTCATCACATAAGCTAGAGAGCTGAAATTGGATTGGGCATACCGAATGCAAAAAGCTTTATATTACTTGTACCCTACATATGCATATGTCTTAATAGACTTGCGTATCATTTAGTTTTTTAATTTCAATTTTTTAGTTTAGGGCTTTAGTTTGTTTTGCTTTTAAATTTGGTTAAGGCTTTTTTTTTCTTTTTTTTTTCTTCGATTTGATTTTCCTTTTTTGCATTTTAATTTTGGTTATTTTGGGGCCATTTTTTTTTTATTTTGTTTTCCCAAAGGACGCGGATTCTGATAGCGGGGACGATTCTGACAAGAGATCATGTGAAGAGAGCTGGAAACTGATTACTTCTCTGAGAGAAAAACTACCTCCCAGCAAGTTACAAACCATTGTTAAAAAATGTGGCCTCCCCAGCAGTGGGAAGAAAAGAGAACCAATTAAAATGTATCAGATTCCTCAAAGAAGGCGCCTGAGTAAAGATTCCAAGTGGGTGACAATCTCAGATCTTAAAATTCAGGCTGTTAAAGAGATTTGCTATGAGGTGGCTCTCAATGATTTTAGGCACAGTCGGCAGGAGATTGAAGCCTTGGCAATTGTTAAGATGAAAGAGCTTTGTGCCATGTATGGGAAAAAAGATCCCAATGAGAGAGACTCTTGGAGGGCAGTGGCCAGAGATGTCTGGGATACTGTTGGTGTCGGAGATGAGAGGATTGAAGATGTGATGGCCAGTGGTAAAGGTGGGACAGACGTAGATGACCTCAAGGTTCACATAGACAAGTTGGAAGATATTTTGCAAGAAGTCAAAAAGCAAAACAACATGAAAGATGAGGAGATCAAAGTCTTAAGAAGTAAAATGGTCAAAATGGAGAAAATCTTACCACTGATTGGATCTCAGGAACAGAAAAGCCAAGGAAATCACAAACCCAAGGAGTCTGTGGGTGCTGGTGTTAATTGCACCCCTGAGAATGATGGAATTAAAGGAGAAAGCGGAGAACTTGGCAAAGAAGAACGGGTGTCCCAGCTGATGAATGGGGACCCAGCGTTCAGACGCGGGCGTCTGCGATGGATGAGGCAAGAGCAAATTCGATTTAAGAACCTGCAACAGCAGGAAATAACGAAGCAGCTCCGGCGACAGAACGCACCTCACAGGTTCATCCCTCCTGAGAACCGGAAACCCCGTTTCCCCTTCAAGAGCAACCCTAAGCACAGAAACTCTTGGAGTCCTGGGACTCATATCATCATAACAGAAGATGAAGTTATCGAGCTTAGAATTCCAAAAGATGAAGAGGGAAGAAAAGCAAGTAAAGATGAGAGCCAAGAGAAAGGGAGTAGAGCCGCTTCGAAGGATCCCCTGTTAGCACGGGGCTCTCCGGGAACAAGAAGTCTAGAGCACATCCAAGTTAGCAAGCAGCCTATTAACAATCCACAACAGCCACCTCAGCTACGTTGGAGAAGCAATTCTCTCAACAGTGGCCAACCGAAAAGTGGGCGCTGCCAGACCTCTGCCTCCTCCGAATCATTAAACTCCCACGGTGGTCACTCCACTGCTGACCTGCAGACTTTCCAGGCAAAGCGCCACATTCACCAGCACCGGCAGTCTTACTGTAATTATAACACTGGAGGGCAGTTGGAGGGCGATGCAGCTAATTCCTGTCACAAACAGACTGACGAGCCTAACCCTGGAAGCCAGTTTGTGACACCTCCGAGGATGAGGCGGCAGTTCTCAGCACCCAACCTCAAAGCTGGGCGCGAAACTACAGTATAAATAAATTACTGGGCAAACTTGAAATCGCAGAGGAGAGACTAGGCAATGTTAATGCTAGCTCACAGTTTAGGTTGGTTTTACCCCTTTTGCCTTAGAACTTCTGGTATTTGCATTATGATTTTAGTGCTGTGTTCCTACAAACATGAACTGGTTTTATATGGTTAACAAAACATAAAACACTGGTAAACATTTTACTTTATATACTGTCAATGGATAGTTTCTGGAATTTTGGATAAAGCATTGAGACCTCCTTTATTTTTCTGAGACTTTCCCCCTTCCGTGGTGCCTAGATAATTAATACACTTACACCAACTTGTTTTGGTGTAAGTTTATATTTTTAACAGTGCCTGTAAATTGATCTGATATCCAGAAAGACCTCTCTCTTAGTTCATGCTGACTTTTGAAAAGGGGAATTTGATATGTAAAAGTAAATGTCTGTTCTCCATAAATGGTGGGGAATAAAACTAAATGGAACTTGGTTTAAAAGTGTTAACATGCACTGGAGGCATAGCTCAGTATGGAACACCTGCCTAGCAAGGGGAAGGCCCTGAGTTCAAACCCTAGTACTGCCAAAAAAAAAAAAAAAACCCCGAAAAACAAAACAAAAATCATGCAACCATGTAGACACAGCTTTGGACATCATATCCATATCTAGGTCTGGTCTTTTAAGTATATTGAAAATTTCATAATCACAAACTAAATTTCTTCAGACAGCTTTTGTAATATACAGCTTTGCGTCTTCAATAGAACATCATCTTTTCCCATTTTTATAGAGAACTGATTCAGTAAAGTTTTTTTTGATGTGTTAAATGATGTATAAAATTTGCCATAATTCTACAGTCTTCAAATTGGCACTGTGTCTTTCTGTTTGTAATTTGTATTTTGAAGTTTAATGTATTTTACAGACAACACAGCCCCCCCAAAAAAATGAACTATTCATTAAATTGTGCCAAATACAAATAACCACAAGAAATATGAGTTCTTTGAACAGTACAAATGAGTTTGTGAGATCATTGGGTGGAAGAAGGAAAGATATGGGAGAAAGACTACAGCATATGTCTCTTATCTGCTTTTTTTCTGCAATAGTTGATGAGATAATGAAAGTTAATTTTTGCTTGGTTCTGAAATAAAAGAGATGATATAAAGTAAACTATTCTGTGAGCAGCTGTAGTAATGCTCATAGATAAGCAAGAAAAAGAAGTCCTGGTGAACATTTATTGTTTCTATACCTCATTTTACCATGCTGTGGTCTGTTTGCCTTCACTGGAGAATCTACAAAAACAGATGGATGTTAATGGAAAGAAAGTGTGATTTCCACATTCTTCTTCATCTCTTGCACTTGTCAGAAACTTTTCTACGAAGCAGTGTGAAGAGCCAGAAATTGCCTGACTTGATAGTATCGAAGATTTCCTGAGTCGCATTAAGTCATCTTTCAAACACTTGTCTTCCAAATGGTGTGAAAAACTGCAGCCAAGATAGAAATTTAGCACTCAAGGAAGCCGTCTGGATTGTGCCTTTTTTTCTTCTTTTGTGTGTGGGCACTATGTTTTGTTAGAGCACATTATTTTAAATAATTTCTTTTCCTTCTAAGAAACTGCTTCCTTAATGCACCGAAAGTTGCTTTCAACTAACTTTTTTTTCCTCTTAAAAAAAAAAAGCAAATAGTACTTCGGAGGGGATATTTTTGCTTTCAGAGCAAGAACAGTTCTAGTCTTCAACAGGGTTTTGATGGCATATTAGATGTGATTGATTGCTGCTGCAGTGTGTCGCCTTCATTGATACAACAGTCTCTGTGCCATTTGTTTGTGTGTACTTGGTAGTCTATTCAGCTTAGTCACTTCAGTGCATCTATGTAAACCCACAGTTGGCCTTCTTTATTCTGCATTAGATATAATTATGCCGACTTTTCCTTTCTTGGCAAAATAACCATTTTCTAATATTATAAATAATAATTGCATAGCTTTCAACTCTGTAGTAAAAACATGAGTCCCTTTCCCTAACTTGGAATAACCTATATTTTCATATTGGGGTGACTTTTTAGTCTTAGTGCTTCCTTTTCCCACCAGATAGTGGGAGTAAGTTAGCCATCCACTGGTGATCCAAGTGACACTAGAATGAAGAAATGAGAATATTCTGGAATATTTTCACATATGAATACACAGCAGTCAGAACAGTGCCTGTAGTGATATCTCAAAGAAGAGATCTGGGTGTGTGCCTCATCTGTTGATCTAGGTCTGTGTATCCTTATAGTGCTGACAAGTTTAGAAATCTGCAGGAGCCCTTAATTCATAGATGGCCAGGAAAAAAAGAAGGTTTGCTTGACTGCTATAGATGTCCCTTCATGTATTTCAGAACAAGTACTTATTTTAGGAAGTAACTTTGTATGAATACGAAATTGCTTCATTGCATCCCTCACTGAACGAGTGCCATCTCTGTGAGCCCATTTGCTTTGATTTTTCAATCTTTGTTGAGATTCAGTTCTCACTGTGTTGCCCAAACTGGTCTTTGCACTAGTATCCTTCTCCCCCAGCTTCCTGAATAACTGGGATTATAGGCATGCACCAATGTGTGGGCTTGTTTTTTGATCTGATAGGATCTCTCCCTGAGCCTAAATTCTACAAGACCAAAGAGAAATAAATGGTCATTATTAAGGCACTCTTCTATTATTGAAATATTTCAAGGTGTTACCATAGTGAGATGAAGCACTTATGCTAATGAGATTATATAGTGACCGTTATACAGTGGGGGAACATAGAAGAGTCCTAGTTAATTTGTGTAGTTTTGTAATCCAAAATGGTATTCCATGGAGAGTTAGTCATTATCTGGTAAGTCTAAAACCAAAGGGTGTTTCCTTTACGCTTGCTTCCAATTATTTCTAGTACTGTTTCTCCTTTCTCTAGTGATGTAATGAATGAGAATTGTTTATTACATTGAAGTAACTTGAGGTGACCTTTTGTGCTTTAGGTGTAGTCTGATATTAAAAAACAAAACACTGTGCATTTTTAAGTGCTATTACACCGTAGGAAGTTACATGGGCTTCCCACAGTCTGAACAGTCTGAACCCCAGTGCCTTACTCTGGTTGTTGATAGACTTGCCTTAATAATTTGAGCAAAAGACTGGGAGATGGGAAGCAGCCTGTGTTGTACTGGTGAAGAAAGCCTCCTTTGGCGGAATGCAAAGCAAGCCTGGGTTCTGTACTGTCAGAGCCAAATTGTTGTAAGCCGTTTTCGTAAATGTCCGGTTTATGTCATCTTTTCCAGATTTTAAGGCCTGTCGTAGATACACTTAGTTTGGACCACTTTAGGTTATGAATTGTATTGGGTTTCCTTCTATTATTACTGTAAAAAGAAGTTGTGAATCTTCTTGTTAACAAACTGTGGATTTTCCCTCAATTCCCTAAAACAATGCTTGAAGATTGTCCTGAGTGTCAGATCTGCCTTTTCAGGGAAGGGAAAGTTAGTTTGTACTGTGGAAAATAAAGTCCTCATTCAATAAAAGTCGAAATTGTCTTGTAAGAGTATGATTTCTGTGTGTGGAAGGAGGGAAAAGGGAAATGAGGTAATGCTAATTAAACTGGTCTTGACTTTATTGCATTTTTGTCTGAAGATGGCTGTATACCATTTCTTAAAAAATACTTCTACGTGCTTTATTTTGATAATTTTGAAGCATTTACATTTGCTGCCGTTTTCTATAACAAAATCCCAGTCTGGTTGTGTAGCTCAGTGGTTGAGCACTCCTCTAACATATGCAAGGCTTCGGAGCTTACCCACCACTCAACACCACTACCACCCCCCCCAAAAAAAAGGATGTGTGAATGAATACATAGGACCTTTAGCTATATTTATGCTATGTTTCTACTTTATGCTATATTTTTCTTCAGTCTTTTCATATAACATGAATATTTCTTCCTGGTTTCTTTGAGTTTAAGCTGTTTTTTTTTTTCATGACTTAGTTATGATTTGAAGCACTTTTAAATGAAATGGCTAGACTTCCCTTCATACAGGTAGAAGTGAGAGGTTTTGAAAGCTTTAAGTAATGGTGTGTCTTTTCTACCCTTTAATCTCTGCTTTTTTTTTCCAGCCAAATTATCAGTGGTGACTAGAGAGAAGACTGAACAAAGCAGAATATTTTTCTTAGAGTAAACTGTTAAGACTTTTTGAAAATTTGAAACTGCTATTTATTTGTTTTTAATTGAAATGAAGCACGTTCACTGCAGAGTAGGGTATCTCATTAGGGCTTTGGTGTGCGTGCATGCGTGCTTGTGTGTGTGTGTGTATACACATTCCTGGAGCTCGAAATCGGAGCATGGGCACTGTGAGCTTTTTTTATTCAAGGCTAGTGCTCTACCACTTGGGCCATACTTTCCTACCTAGGCTGGCTTCAACCCTAGATCCTCAGATCACAGCTTCTCTTTTTTTTTTTTTTTTTGGTTGTTGTTGCTCGTGGGAGTTGAACTCGGGGCTTGGGCCCTGTCCCTCAGCTCTTCAGCTCAAAGCAAATGCCCTACTATTTGAGCCACAGCACCACTTCTGGTTTTCTAGTGGTTTATTGGAGATAAGAGTCTCATGGTTTTTCCTGCCCAGGCTGGCTTTGAACTGTGGTCCTCAGATCTCAGCCTCCTGCGTAGCTAGGATTACAGGCGTGAGCCACCATTGTCCAAATGATTTTGAACTCTTTCATAGTGCAGATTCTCTGACCTTTTGTTCTTTGGGTATGCCAGGTTTGTTACAACCTCACAATTCTTGTACATGCCCTTAATTTTAATCCTTTCCCATCATACATCTCTTCCACATCTGAGCTCCTTTCTTCCAGCTCTAGCTCATCCTATGTTGACTATCACTGTTTTAGTAATGATAACCTGCAATTATCCTGTCTGTGTACTTGTCTGTTTCTCCTACTAGGATGTAAATGCACCTAGAATAAGTGTTTTACCTGTCTTGTTTACTGCGCCAGCCATCTATATATGTAGAATGGGAGAATGGTTCTCATACTGTAATCAGAGTCCCCTGGGGGATTATGTGGGCTGACCCTCACAATGGCTGAGTAGGTCTGGGATGAGACCTGGTACTTTGCATCTCTCAGAAGTTTCCAGGTAATATTCCAGGCACTCTTTAAGAACCACTGATCTAAGCCAGGTACCAGTAGCTCATGCCTGTACTCCTAGCTACTCAGGAGGCTGAGATCTGAGGATGGTAGTTCAAAGTCAGCCAAGGCAAGAAAGTCCGTGAGTCTTACCTCTAGTCAACCACCAGAAAACTGGAGGTGGTGCTGTGGCTCAAAGTGGTAGAATGCTAGCCTTGAGCACAAAAGCTCATACCCAGGCCCTGAGTTCAAGCCTCATGACCACCAACAAAAAAATAATAGTGAATGAGTCAGTCAATTTAAAGTGATGGGCATTGAACCTAGATCCTTATGCATACTAAGTACTGTACCACTAACCTCCAACACCAACCCTCAGTGGTATTTTCATCTTTCCAGACATGTGTTATATCTCATAGTCACTCATCTCTGCTGTGGTAGCTGGCAAGTAGCCATAGGCAACCTGCAAATGAACAGAGGTGATTGTGTTCCATTAAAACCGTATTCACAAAACTATCAGTAGGCTGGGTCTAGCTTATAGGTACACACTGTTAACTCTTCGTCTAGCGGATAGTTAACTTTTGAGAATGATTAAAACCTCAATGCATGACTGTGAGTTTGGTCTGGAAGAGTGTTATGGGACAGTTGCTTCAGTAGTCAAGACTAATGGTCCTGGGCCTCGTGAAGTTCATTTGGGCACATGTGTACAACACATACTATCATTCTCCTTTACTCCCTACCCCTTCTTAACAATTTCAACAGGTCCCATTGTTCTGTCTTCATACATGCAAACAGCTCATCATATTCACCCTCATTCACCCCTCTTGTTAACCAAACCGCCTTCAGCTAGTACTCGCCACCCCATCCAACAGAGCTTGTTTTACTTTCTTGTCCTTTTCTTAAACTGTATATTAGTTGCCCCAATAGGGTTTACCATGATAAAAAATGAATGTAAAAGTGATTGCTTTCTCTTTCTCAGCCCCTACTCAATCCCCTGTTGACCAAACAGCTTTCATTGTGATTGCCTATGAATTGCAATGTATTTCAAAGTTATTGGCCCTCTTTTTTTTCCTTTCCCCTTCTCATTATCCTCCTCAATAGTTCCAGTGTGCTCTGAGTGCATGTATATATTTACATATGTAAATTAATATGCATGTACATGTCTATGAATGTGTATGTCTTTTAAGCCTAGCTTCCACATATAAGAAAACATATTTGGCTTTTTGAGCTTGACATATTTCACTCAACTTGATGCTCCCCAATTCTTTCCATTTTCCTGCAGATGACATGATTTTATTTACAGCTGTGTAGTATACTATGATGTATATATGCACCTTACCTTCTTTTTCCATTTATCTGTTGTTGATCATCTTGGTTTGTTTCCACTATTTGGCTGTTATGAACAGTGCTTCCAAAACATGGGTTAGGCAGGTATCTTTCTTATATATTGATTTATACTCTTTCAAATAGATACCCAATAGTGTTATGGTGGAGTCATAAGGAAGGCATGTTGTTGGTTTTTGAGGTGCCTCTACTGATTTCCATAGTGACGCTAGTTTATATTCCCACCAAGAGTGTAAAAGGGTTTCTTTTTCCTCACATCTTCATCACCTTTCATTCTCACTGTGGACTCAGATTAGTTCTATACTCAATATTCCAAATTCTTTTTCTATTGTTTTCACATTTAATGTCCAATGGGAGCAGTGCCATTGAGAAATGGCCTCAGAGCCGTGTGTTGGTGGCTCACGCCTGTAATCCTAGCTACTCAGGAGGCTGAGATCTGATGATTGTGGTTCAAAGCCAGCCTGGACAGGAAAATCAATAAGACTCTTATATCCAATTAACCACCAGAAAACCGGAAGTGGTGCTGTGGCTCAAGTGGTAGAGTGCTTACCTTGGGCTGAAGAACTGAGGGACAGCGCCCAGTCCCAAAGTTCAAGCTCCACGACCTACAAAAAGAAAGAAAAAGAAGTTGTCTCAGAGGTCCAGGCTAGTTGGGTGCTGGTTATTCATGCGTGTTACCCTAGCTACTCAGGAGGCTGAGATCTGAGGATCATGGTTTGGAACCAGCCCAATAATGAAAGTATGAAACTGTCATCTCCAGTAAACTACTGAAAGGCTGAAAGTGGAGCCATAGCTCAAGTGGTAGAGTGCTAGCTTTAAAGAAAAAAAAAAATAGCACCCAGTCCCTGAGTTCAAGCCCCACCTCAGCGTGGCACCCAAAAAAAAAAAAAATAGAGATTCCAGGCTTACCTTATACTTTTCTTACTCCTAACTTGGAATCTGCATTTTCCCAAGTAGTCAGCTCTTTCACTCAAGACTAGTGCTCTACTACTTAGCCACAGCTCCACTCTGGCTGTCTCACAGACTTTTCTGCCCAGACTGGCTTTGAACAGTGATTCTTATGTCTCAGCTTCCTAAGTAGCTACCAGGCTTAAAACATTTATTTTTAGCCACGCACTGATAGCTCATGCCTATAATCCTAGCTGCTCAGGAGGCTGAGATCTGAGGATTGCAATTTGAAACCAGCCCAGACAAAATGTCTCCATGAGACTCTTACCTCCAATTAACTCCAGAAAAAAAACAGAAGAGCCATAGTTTAAGAGGTAGAGTGCCATCCTTGTGCAAAATAGTTGAAGAATAGTGCCCAAGCCCTGAGTTCAAGCCCCAATACCAGTGTGTGTACATACACTAAATGAAAGAGATTTTAAAGATTGCTTATCATTTTTAGATGGTTCATATATTTGTCCATCCTGCTGTTTGATGTGGTAGGTGGATCATATGCTAAAATCTATTTAGCCCGTTCTGGGGCTTGAACTCAAGGCCAAAGCACTGTCCCTGAGCTTTTGTGCTTAACACTAGCACTCTAATCACTTTGAGCCACAGCTTCACTTCTGGTTTTCTGGTGATTAATTAGAGATAAGAGTCTCACGGTCTATCTTGCCCTGGCTGGCTTCAAATTGCAATCCTCAGATCTCAGCCTCCTGACTATCTAGGATGACAGGTGTGAGTCACCAATGCCTGGTCTAAATTTTTTTTTTTGGCCAGTTGTGGGGCTTGAACTCTGGGCCTGGGTGCTGTCCCTCAGCTCTTCAGCCCAAGGCAAGCACTCTACCACTTGAACCATAGCGTCACTTCATATTTTGGTGGCTAATTGGAGATAAGAGTCTCACAGACTTTCCTGCTCGGGCTGGCTTTGAACTGTGATCCTCAGATCTCAGCCTCCTGAGTAGCTAGGATTACAGGTGTGAGCCACTGGCGCCTGGCTAAAATTTTCATTTTAAAAATGAAGAAAATAGGGGGGTAGGGGGAGGATGGGAAGGGATGGGAAGGGGAAACAAAGGAGGAGGCTACAATGCTTGATAAGAAATGTACTCATTATCTTGCGCATGTAATTGTAACCCCTCTGTACAGTATTTTCACAATAAAAAAAGAAAGAAAAAAATGAAGAAAATAAGGTTTAGAGAAGACTAAATTTTCTAAAATTATAAGATAAAGCGCCAGGACTAAACTCAAATCATTTTACTTACTAGCTTAATTTTTTCCCTACCCTCCTCTTCCCTTCTCTTTGCTTTTTGTTTCCTCCTTTCCATTTCCTTTTCTTCCTTTTTTCTTCACTATACTGTACATAATTTGTAATATTATATAAACCTGTATCATTGGCTCTTGGTTTTGATTATTGCCAGCTCCACTAAAGAAAGAAGGCTTCCTGGGCTGGCAATGTGGCTTAGTGGTAGAGTGCTTGCCTAGCATGCATGAAGCCCTGGGTTTAATTCCTCAGTACCATAAAAACAGAAAAAGCCGGAAGTGGTGCTGTGCCTCAAGTGGTAGAGTGCTAGCCTTAAACAAACAAAGAAGACTTCCTTTGTGAATCCAGTTTGTCAGCGTGGCTAGGGTCTTGGAGAATGTTTGTGGTGTTAGCATTGCCGATGGGAGCTCCTTTTGTCACGGAGCTTACTGAAGTGGCCATCTGTAACCCTCTGGTTAAGTGGAAGGTTGATGTGGGGGAGTGGAAGGTTCTGACAGTGGTGCAGGTCCATTTCCTGACAGCCAGTGACTGTGCCACTCCTGGGCAACTAAAGCAGGATGTCTGAGTAGATCGTAAGGTATTACACTTAAGGCCATGTTTTAGTATTTTCATTATGTGAAAGTTTCTTTTTTAACCCTGCTTGTTTTATTTTCATTAAAATTCCATCTTTTTTCATATCTGATAACCTTTCTAGACAGTTTTTTCCATTCTCTTTCTCTGTCTCATAATCTTTTGCTGGTTTGAGGTGATAATGCCCTTTTTGAAAATGCATGAAGTAGGAGGAGAAATGAAAGACAAATCTGATTTGAATTCTAGCAAATAGATTTTAAAACAAAATGTCTCTTGAATAACAATATGATCTATAAATTATTTCAGTCCAATACTGATGAGAGCTTCTGGTTATCTGAAGGCAGAATTCATTCTACCACTATAAAGATGGTTTGTCACCCACAGAGTACTTCACAGACTACAGTCTTAATTTTTTCACCTTCCAAACAGATAACTGGAACTTTGGCAGTACTGGTGAATTTGATCTTTTGCAGCATTGTCTTTCTCTGGAATTCCTCAATGTGTAAATATTATTGTGTCATTCCTTAGTCTCCCTTTCATGTTTTTGTCCCTTGCTCTCTCTACTTTCCCCAGTATCATTTTCCTTCCCTCTTATTTCCTCCCTCTCCTACATGTCATTTCCTTTGTTTTCCTTCAGGACTATGAGAGTAAATTGCAGGCCTTGCAGAAGCAGGTTGAGACCCGGTCCCTGGCTGCAGAAACAACTGAAGAGGAAGAGGAGGAGGAAGAAGGTGAAGTTTAGACAATGAAACTTTCCCTTTCTGGTTTTTTTTTCAGATCCTTTGTCACCTATCAAAGCTGGGTTTCTCAGACTTTACCTCTCCTCTGTTGACCTTAAACGGAACCAACTTAGAGATGATTTAACCCATGCTCAGAGCTGAGCACCCACGTTGTAGTCCGCGAAGGGGCAGTAGGACTCTTAGTGTCCCATAGAACTTCAGGTTTCTGAGGACAGCCCTCATACAAATGAATCTCTGGGAAGTTGACATTCATGGTCTCAGATCCCTGTAAGAAATTCATGTGTCCAGTGAGGGAAAGGGTGACATTGTCCAATTTGCTAGGATTACAGGCTGACTATACTCAGTACCTGACTTATGTAACTGAAACCCCTCTGTACACCACCTTTATAGTAACAATAAAAAAGAAAGGAAAAAAATAATACAGAGTTAGAACCATAATATGTTATTCAACATTTTGAACATATTGTTGAATTCAACCACTCTTCAGTGGATAACACTGCTTATCTAAAATAAAAGTGCAGCTGGGTGGATGCCAGTGACGCACACCTATACTTCTACCTACTCAGGAGGCTGAGATCTGAGGATCATGGTTCAAAGACAGCCCAGGGCAGGAAAGTCATGAGAATTATCTCCAGTTAACCAACAGAAAGCCAGAAGTAGTGCTGTGGCTCAAAGTGGTAGAGCGCACGCCTTGAGCAAAAATGCTTGTGGACAGTGCCCAGGCTCTGAGTTCAAGCCACACAGCTGACAAAACAAATAAATAAAAGCTCAGAGCAAACATAAATTATAAATATAGAGGCCAGGCACTGGTGGCTCACACCTATGATCCTAGCTACTCAGGAGGCTGAGATCTGAGGCTTGTGGTTCAAAGCCAGCCTGGGCATGAAAGACCTTGAGACTCTTACCTCCAATTAACCACCAGAAAACCGAAAGTGGTGCTGTGGCTTAAGTGGTAGAGAGCTAGCCTTGAGCTGAAGACCTCAGGGACAGCACCTAAGCCCAGTGTTCAAGCCCCATGGCCGACAAAAGAAACTAACTAACTAAATAAATAAATAAAGAGGCTGTGAATGTGGCTTAGTGGTAGAGTGCTTGCCTAGCATACATGAAGCCCTGGGTTTAATTCCTCGGTGCCACATAAACAGAAAAAAATAGAAATAGCACTGTGGCTCAAGTGGTAGAGTGCTAGCCTGAGCAAAAGAAGATCCAGGACAGTACCCAGGCCCTGGGTTCAAACCCCAGGCCTGGCAAAAGAAAGCAAGGAAGGAAAGAAGGAAGAAAGGAAGGGAGGGAAGGAGGAAGGGAGGAATGAATGAATCATAGTTCAGATGGTCTGTTTCATTTGGAATGCATCCATTCCTGGCAGATGTTCTTATTAGTAAGGGTCATTGTGACATTTCCAAATGTATACAATATATCCTGATTAACTTCATTTGGTTTATCACTCTTCTTTACCCTCATATTCCAGTTCCCCACACAACTTCTCGTTAGTCTCATGGCTTTAGATTAACCTCGAAAGATCTCTTAATTTTTTTTTTTTTGTCGGTCATGGGGCTTGAACTCTGGGCCTGGGCGCTGTCCCTCAGCTCTTCAGCTCAAGGCAAGCGCTCTATCACTTGAGCTACAGCGCCACTTCCGGTTTTCTGGTGGTTTATTGGAGATAGGAGTCTCACGGTCTTTCCTGCCTGGGCTGGCTTTGAACCGCGATCCTCAGATCTCAGCCTCCTGAGTAGCTAGGATTACAGGCGTGAGCCACCAGCGCCCGGCCAGATCTCTTAATTTTTATACTGAGCTATGTATTTTTAAGTACCTAAGTGAAATAGGACACTTTTTTCTGTATTAGAAAGTAAAAAAGGATAGGCATGGTGGCTTATGCCTGTAATCCTAGCTACTTGTAATACAAAAATAAGATTACAGTTTGAGGCCAGCTTAAGCAAAAAATTAGTATGTTCTCATCTCAGCCAATGACTAGGCATGGTGGTACATGGCCTGTTATCAAATGTATTTGGGGAAATTTAAAATAGGATCAATTCAAACACTGATGGTGTACATGTATAATCCTACCTACCAAGAGGCTGAATGAAATGTGAAGATTACAGTTTGAGGTCAGCCTGGCCAAAAAAACTCCCTGAGATATGTATCTCTAATTAACCAGCGAAAGGGCTGGGAAGGTGGCTCAGTGGTAGAGCGCTTGCCTTGCATGCTTGAGGCCCTGGGTTCAATTTCTCAGCACCACATAAGCAAAAAGAAAAAAGCTGGAGTGGCGCTGTGGCTCAAGTGGTAGAACGCTAGCCTTGAGCTGAAGAGCTGAGGGACGGCGTCCAGGCCCAGAGTTCAGGCCCATGACTGGACCAAAAATAAATAAATTAATTAATAAATCAGCAAAAATCTGGAAATAGAACTATGAGTCAAGTGGTAGAGGACCAGCCTTGAGAATAAAATCCAAGTGAGAGTGAGGCCTGAATTCAAGCCCAATACAAGTCCAAAAATATCCCAAGCCGGGCCCCAGTGGCTCACACCTGTAATCCTAGCTACTAAGGAGGCTGAGATCTAAGGTGGTTCAAGCAGTAGAGCGCTCGCCTTGAGCTGAAGAGCTGAGGGACAGTGTCCAGGCCCAGAGTTCAAGCTCCACGACCAACCAAAAAAAAAAAAAAAAGAAAGAAATATTCTAGTCACAAAGCCGGGGGGCCGAGCCTCATACTTGTAATCCTAGAAAAGCACTAGAAAACCGGAAGTGGCGCTGTGGCTCAAGCCAGCTGTGGCTTCAGCTCTTGCCTTGAGCTGAAGAGCGCAGGAACAGCACCCAGGCCCAGAGTTCAAGCCCCATGATTGACCCAAAAAAAAAATTATAGTCACATATTAAAATTGTCTATTTAGAAATAAAGGAAGAGGAAATAGATTTCCTTATTGTACTGTTTCAAATAAATAGAACTTAAGGTTTTCTCAAATATATGTATGGCTTCTATAAAATCAACCTAGTAAGCAAGCTTTACTAATAAACAAAACTGGGAAATAGCATGGTAAATGCTGTAAGGTAGGAGTGTGATTTCCTTACAGGTGTGAGATGACCATTAAATATGCTTCATTTGGTCTTTCAGCTCCTTGGACACAGCATGAGTTTGAATTGGCCCAGTGGGCCTTCCGGAAATGGAAGTCTCACCAGTTTACCTCTTTACGGGACTTGCTGTGGGGCAATGCCGTATACCTGAAGGAAGCCAGTGCCATCAGTGTGGAGTTGAAGAAAAAGGTAAGGAAGTGCTGAGAATGTGGGTGATACACAGGCACAGCTGAGCTGCAACCGAACTAACCATTCTCTTCAGGGAACTCATCTGCTTTATGCTATGAAGCAGCTTTCTGTATACTTTATTCAACGTATGTGCATAGGACATAGTAGCTACTAACTAAACTTAAAATGCATGTTTTTAGTTTATTATTTAGTTTATTGTATTTGATAAGAGCTAGAAATTGCTCTTAACAAAAAAAAATGTTTCTCTTGGGTCTGAAAAAAAACTCAATTTCACTTTAGTTTTGTGTGTGTGCATACATAAGTGTGCATAACGTGTGTGTGTGTGTGTGTGTGTGATGTTTCTCTTGGATTTCTGGGGGAAAAAAATCTCAATTTCACTTTAATTTTGTGTGTATGTGTGCATGCACGTGTGCACACCAGTGCTAGGGCTTTGAACTCAGGGCCTCTAGCTCTGCTTAGTTGTTTTACTCAAGGCAGGCACTCTGCTACTCAAGCCACGCGTTTACTTCCAGCTTTTTGCTTGTTAACTGGAGATCAGAGTCTCATGGATTTTTCTGCTAGAATGGCTTTTAATTGTATTCTTCAGCTCCTAGCCACTGGTGCCTAGCTTCATTAGCATGTTTTTTCATTAGCATGTTATTTTTCCTGGGGCTTGAACTCAGGGCCTGGGCTCCATCCCTGAGCTTCATTGTGCTCAAGGCTAGTCTCAACCACATGAACCACAGCACTACTTTCTGGTTTTTGAATGGTTAATTGGAAATGAATCTCATGGGCACTTCTCTGTTTGAGCTGGCTTATAACCACAATCCTCAGATCTCAGCCTCCTGAGTAACTAGGATTATAGGCGTTAGCCACCAGTACCCAGCTTCACTTTAGGTTTTGACTATTAAGTCTGTACTATTAAGCCTGTAAGTCTCTTCACCACTTAATTACTTGACTCCTAGCATCTGCGAGGCACTGCTGTGCGATGCACCAGCACACGTGCTCTGCTCCCACAAGGCTTGGGCCAGTCCAGTGTCACGAGTTGCACTGACCTAGTTAACAGATTTACTCATCCACAAAATGAGGTTGACAACAGAGCCTGTCACTCAGAGCTGTTATGACAGATGAAAGAGAGAATGTACATAAAACACTAAAAATACTGTCTGAGCATGGTAAAAGACAATAACTGTAAGTTATCTATTTTCATAATTGCTACCAACATTTTACACCGAACATTTGATTGAACCTTCCTATGCTCTACTGTTTGTCTCCTGATTGCTAAGATTACAGCCAGAGACCACATTGTACAGCAAGAAGGAAAACAGACTGCTTGACTTGGAAAAATTTATCTCCCAGGGCTAAATTCTCCTTATGTCAAGTAGACCTCAGCTTCACTCCTGATCTCAGAAACCCATCTCACACTGTAATTACTAACACATTCATCACCAAGTAGACTAAAGGCAGGGACTTTGTTTTTCTGTTCTTAATGCTGTACCTAGTGTTTAATCAGTGTTTGTTGGTGAAAATATAGGGTAGTAGCAAGAGATAAATGACATGATGCATGACACTTACCATATAGTAAACGCTTCTAAGAGTAGTCGTTGTAATCCTCTGAATTTAAAATTGAAACCTTTGGTGTGTTCCAACCTCTCTCATTAATGATGACTAGAGATGCATTGTTGGATCCATCTTTTGGTCTCTAGTATAAGTTCCACTGAAGCCTTTGTTCAGTCAGCCAAAATGTATTTACTGGGATTTTAGTTTATATAAAAACACTCTTCCAAGCTAGGAAAACAAAGTTGTAAATTGCTTAGTCTGCAATTAGGATTGTTCCCTGTGTTTAATATCATAGGTAGCCAACTTTTTTAGGTAGTCAGAAGCTATTTGTTGAGCACATACTTCACATTCAGCCTCTTTCCCATTGGCATAGCAATATCGCCTGGGCTGTGAGGCTTACTTGCTGAAATGGTAATGTCACTGCTTTATCCTTCCCACTCAGGTGCAGTTTCAGTTTGTTCTGCTGACTGACACACTCTACTCCCCGTTGCCTCCTGAGTTGCTTCCCACTGAGATGGACAAAACGCATGAAGACAGGCCTTTCCCTCGTACAGTGGTAGCAGTAGAAGTTCAGGATCTGAAGAATGGAGCAACACATTATTGGTCTCTGGAGAAACTCAAGTATGAAGATATTCATATAAGTTGATTGTTTCACTTAGGAAATAATAGTAAATTGCTCAAGCGGGTTCCTTCACATTCTCTTCTCTCTGAGGATGAGTGCTGTTTTTTCTGTGCTCTTGCAGACTAATGATATTACCATATCCATTTTCTAGGAGAATGAATCCCACTCCTCAAATACCTTTGATATTGGCTGATCCAATTCTATGATTATTATTTCTATCTTGTATTTAGAAATCATTTATCTTTTTTCAGAAAACAGGGAAGTTACATCTAGCTTTATTTGTATTTAGTATGATAATTGCCACTGTCTGAGTATATTGAAATATCACACACCATTGAACTAGTTTCCTTTGAGACTGTTGGCTCAGTACAGGTTAACTGGCTGTTCTTTTTTTTTTTTTTTTTGAGATAGTCTTGCTATGTAGTCTATGCTTGCCTTGAACTTGTAATCCTTCTGTCTCAGTTTCTTCTTTTTTTGGGGGGGTAGGGGTCCGGTCGTGGGGCCTGAACTCTGGGCCTGGGCATTGTCCCTCAGCAATTCAGCTCAAGGCAAGCGCTCTACCACTGAGCCACCTTCCCAGCCCTGTCTCAGTTTCTTGAGTGCCTGGGATTATAGGTGTATGCCACTTGACCCATCTCACTGTCCATTCTTCATTTTTTTGTGACATAGACATTGGTGTCTTCTTTTGGCTTTCATTTTTTTGTAATAACATTCAATGATGGGAACAACTTTTTGAAAAAAATATTGTATGGAATATGCTTCCAGAACACAGCACTAATGCAATCTGATGCTATGAACCACTCCTGCCTCTTGTTTGTTCCACAGGCAGAGACTAGATTTAATGCGAGAGATGTACGACAGGGCGGGCGAGATGGCCTCTGGTGCCCAAGATGAAAGTGAAACCACCATGACAGGCAGCGACCCGTTCTACGATCGGTTCCACTGGTTCAAACTTGTGGGAAGGTATGTGATGATATTGTTGTTTTACTTTTAAATACTGAGCATTTTTGTTTTAACTATTTAAAATCTCAGCAGATATTCTGGGGAATTAAAAGGGGGAAAAAGTACATTTAACAAAACCCTTTCTCTAATTTTATCCACTCATGGTATAAACACTGTCTTATTTCAACATGTGTATTGTTTTGATTGCCAACTTTTAACCAACACTCTCCCCTGGCTCCTAGCTTTTTCACAAAATGTTTTCATAGTTGATAAAGATAGATTGAAAGGAAAAACAAAACTTACGTGTATGTTTTGCACAGTCTAAATAAAATCATAGTTTGTGTGTATGCCTTAGCAAGCTACAACTATTCCTCTTTCTGATTTGTGCACTTTTTCCTTAGAGCAATTATCTCGCTTCTGTTGGCAGTCTTCTTGAATCTCTTTCTCTCTCACTCTTTTTTTTTTTTTTTTCCAGTGCCAGTCCTAAGGCTTGAACTCAGGGCCTGGGCACTGTCCCTGAGCACTTTGTCACTTGAGCCACAGTACCACTTACAACTTTTTCTGTTTATGTGGTACTAAGGAATGAAACTCAGGGCTCCATGCCTGCGAGGCAAGCACTCTACCACTAAGCCACATTCCCAGCCCGCCTCTAATATTTTATGAAAAAAGATATTGCCTCTGTGAGACTTTATTGAGTTGGGTTCTTTTTTTTTTTTTGGTCAATTGTGGGGCCTGAACTCAGGGCCTGGGCGCTCTCCCTCAGCTCTTCAGCTCAAGGCTAGGGCTCTACCACTTGAGCCACAGTGCCACTGCGGCTTTTTCTGCTTATGTGGTACTGAGGAATCGAACCCAGGGCTTCATGCATGCAAGGCAAACACTCCTTCCCAGCCCCGAGTTCTTAGAAATTTGGAAGCAGAGAAATTTAAGTTTTGACTTTACTGATTTCAAGTATTGGAGCTGTTTTCAACTGCGAAAATCTCTGTTATAATATTTAAAGAAACTAGGTAAGGTCTGAAAATGTGGCTTAGTAGTAGAATGCTTGCCTAGCATGCATGAAGCCTTCAGTTCAATTCCTCAGTACCACATAAACAAAAAAGTTGAAAGTGGTTCTATGGCTCAAGTGGTAGAGTGCTAGCCTTGAGCAAAAGAAGACCAGGGACAGCGCCTAGGCCTTGAGTTCAAGCCCCAGGACTGGCAAAGAAAAAAAGAAAAGAAACTAGGTGAAAAGGAGTTATTGAAGTACTAGTATTTTATTGAAATGAAGTAAAATCCTTTTCTACTCCACTTTGATAATAGACTAGGTTTTTTTTGTTATTGTTGTTTGCTTTTTTTAAAGAGATGAACTGGCCAGACACATCTTACCCAAGGAAAGCATGCCTGCTGTGGCCAGTATAATTCCTTGCATTTTGTTTCTGCTCTAAAATGAGAATTCAAATCTTTCTATTTCACCTGACTTTTGAGTAGCTCCTTTGAGGCCTGGATGCTGATCTTTTGTATGAATGAGAGAATAGAAATGTTTTATAACACAATTTATACCATATTTACCAAGGGTTGTCTACTCATGGATTTCCTTTGCGTTTCTTATTCTAAGGATCCATCCTTGTAGAACTTTTTCACCCTGCCCTATTCCCTTTCACTTGACCCAGATAAGTTACGCTATTTTTATTCTTTTGCTTTTCTATTTGCTCTGATTGTGTTGCAGTGGATTCTGTCCTGTTGGCACCTATAGCTTCCTGTTTAACCAACTCTTCCTTTTTCCCTGGCTGTGTTAATTGGCGTCTTACCTGGTGTCTAGCTCCCCCATTTTCCACGGCTGTGTGAATGAGCGCCTTGCTGACCGCACACCCTCCCCCACTTTTTCCACCGCCGATTCCGACATCACTGAGCTGGCTGACGAGCAGCAAGATGAGATGGAGGATTTTGATGATGAGGCATTCGTGGATGACACCGGCTCTGACGCAGGGACGGAGGAGGGATCAGACCTCTTCAGTGATGGGCATGACCCGTTTTACGACCGATCCCCTTGGTTCATTTTAGTAGGAAGGTTGGTGAGGTTATTATGAGAAAGGCAAAAAGGGACCAGCTCTTGCTTTTAAAGGCCTCTGCACAATTTTAGATAGTCTTGCCTTCGCCAGTTTAATTCATGAATCCTCAGTCTCACATCCTCTAATGCTTGGGCTTCTAATATAAAGGTCAATCTGGCTGGAGAGAGCACTCAGGTACTTTGTGAAAAAGCACACAGCAATTTGTGAAGACGTTATGTTCAGGACTGCTTGTCCTAAATTGCCCAATAGTATTGTTCTGAAGGAGGAAACCCCAAAAGAGAAAGTAATTAAAGCAGAGTCAAAGACAATGGACTCCACAGATGGCAGTGTTGGGAGGAAGCATATGGCAATAGCATGTGGTGGACCACAGTGAGCCCGAGGTTAGACAAGCCTCCACAGGGGCCAGAGGACTGAACTAGGCTTAGGAGTAGAGTTCAGTACATGGGGTTTTTTGTTTGTTTGTTTTTTGCTTAGTCCATTGAATCTTAAAAAGGACCTTAGAAAGAAGCAGGATTCTTGAGTCTGATTTCCCTTTGGCTATAGGGACTGTTTTTCTGTATTGCTTTGGCCAGAATTGACCTATAGGATTTACAATGACAAATCTCAGAAAATGTCTGTTGACCCTATCAACAATGAATATTTGTTTAGTGCTACATGAAACTGCTTTTGTTGAGTTCCCCAAACTGAGGCATTGTCTTGCTGTCAGACTATGCATTCCTCTATTAGAAATGCAGAACCCTCCGTCACATGTTCCCAATACTGTGTCTTTGTCCATATCCAAGCTTCATGATGAGTAATGGTCATTATAATTCCAATAATAGAGCATTCATTGGGTTAAGCTAAAACAAGGTCTAGGTTTTAAAGTATAAAAATTAAGTTTAGTGGTATATTAGAACCACAATGTCTTGTTGAACATATTGAATGTATTGTTGAACTCAACTACTCTTAAGTGGCTAACACTGCTTATGTAAAATAAAAATGGAGCTGGGCGCCGGTGGCTTACGCTAGCTACTCAGCTCATCCTAGCTACTCAGGAGGCTGAGATCTGAGAATCACTGTTCAAAGCCAACATAGGTAGGAAAGTCCATGAGACTCTTACCTCCAATGAACCACCAGAAAACTGGAAGTGGCACTATGGCTCAAAGTAGTGGAGCTCTAGCCTTGAGAAAAAGAGCTTAGGAACAGCATCCAGACCCTGAATTCAAGCCTCATGACCAACCAAAAAAAAAAGTTCAGCAAGTCTCTTGACCTCTCCCCTTCCCACCCCACAGACATGTGTTCCAAAATTTAACACATGAAAAAGGGGAAAAGATAAGTTCTTTGGTAGAAATGAAAACCTCAATTACAATGTCGAGTAATAATATTAGACAGTTTTTTTTTACAGTGGTAAGGAACATGTAAAGTTTAGTTTCTTCCTGAGTAAACACAATGAGATTGTAGAACCATGAATATTGTTTTCTACTGGTCTATTGCCAGAATCAGATGCTTAGAATTCAGAGAAGCTGACTAAGAAAGGCACTGACAAGTAATGGGAAAATAATGCTTTCTTCCATGGCTGTCTGTGCCCTCATACATGGCCATCCTATTCTAAAGAGTTGGCTGTTACATCTTCTGCCCATATACTTAGTCCCAGTACCAGCTATATACTGAGAGCCTTAAAAGATCTTTTTCAGGGCTGGGAAGGTGGCTCAGTGGTAGAGCGCTTGCCTTGCATGCACGAGGCCCTGGGTTCAATTCCTCAGCACCACATAAGAAAAAAGAAAAAAGCTGGAAGTGGCGCTGTGGCTCAAGTAGTAGAACGCTAGCCTTGAGCTGAAGAGTTGAGGGACAGCGCCCAGGCCCAGAGTTCAGGCCCCACGACCAGACCCCCCCCCAAAAAAAGATCTTTTTCAAAGGACAAGGCCCTGAGTTTAAACCCAGTGCCTCAAAAAACAAAAAGATGAAGTCAGAATCCTGCTTAGCCAGGCACCAGTGCATATAATCCCAGCTACTTAGAAGGCTGAGATACAAGGACTAAATTTCAAAGAAAAGGTCCAGCCAGTCCAAGGCCCAGAGTTCAAGCCCCAGGACCAGCACACACACACACACACACACAAAACCTATCTACTTTTATATATATATATATATATATATATATATATAGGTACAATCAAGATATATGTATTTTTTAAGATATAAGTATATTCTCTAGTATTTTTCTTTTTTCTCATATTAGATGCAAGTATAAATATAAAGCAGTCAACTTTTATTTTATTTTCACCTGATATATTTATGAAGCTATGGTTCAGAAATTGGTCTTTTCATTAGTTTGGGTTCGGTTCTAGACTTCTAAAACTAGTGTCACCTTGCAAGAGACTAGGAGATAGAAGTTGGCTAGGAATATAGCCCAGTTGTAAGACCTAGGGTTTAATCACCAGTAGCAAGTAAATAGAGACACTGGGTACAGTGACTCCTGCCTATAATCCTAATTCCTTGGGAGACTGAGATTGAGAGGATTGTGGTTTGAGACCATTCTTGACAGAAAGTTTGGGTATCTCCATCTCAACCAGTAAAAAACTGAGTGCATCAGTATGCACCTGTCACCCCAGCTATACAGGAAATGTAAGTAGAAAAAATGTAGGCCAGCCTGTGTAAAAAGTGAGACCCTACTAAACAAAGAAGACTCGGGCATGGCTCTAGCAACAGAGCATGTGGTTAGCAAGTGCAAGACCTTGAGTTCGAATCTCAGTACTGCCAAAAATAAATAGAGAAGAGACTGGGGAGGAGGTGAAAGCATAGCAGGTGATAAAGTGGAAGATGGCTGTCCATTTGGCCCTCAATTACATTCCTTCTCCACAAGAACATGCATGACGGTGCAGCATCACCAATTGTTTGGCAGTCACTGGCTGTAACAACGATTACTTCTTTCCTGCTTTGTAATTTGTAGGATTGGATTTTTCCATATTGGCATGGAATTATAAATGTGACTCACTTGTAAAAGTTTCCATCTTCCTAATGAAATTCTGCTTGTAGATTTGTTGACTGACCTTGATTACCTCTGGTGAATCTTTGTATCCAGATGCAAAGAGCTTGTCCCTTTAGCTATTCTCTTATGGCATGCTGGGATGTATAAACCATCCACCATAATTTGGGATGAGAGACGTAAGCTAGACTTCTAGGTTGAAAAGGGGGCAAAAGATGATTCTGTAAACCTCTCTGAACTAAATTGACATTCCTCTGTAAGAATCACTGTAATTATGCTATTTTCTTTATGTTGACAAATTTATTTTCTCTTTCTGATGTAACATCACAGAGTTTTTCAGCTAACATGTCCTTTATATCTTCCCTCTCATCTCTGTTCTCCTTCAGTCTGCTAGTTCAAAGTATAAGGACTTCCAAAATTAGAGTAATTACAGAAATTTAGAAAGCTTCAGAGGAGAACTTTTGATGCAGCAGTAATTTGGGCTAGGGGGACAGGAGCAGTCTGGTGAGCATGTATTCATTCATGTATCACAGAAGTGATGGCCCACCCTGCCATGGAATTGCAGATGTGCTAACTAGAGACACCTGCAACAATTCCTATTCAGTGGAAGAGCCGTTTCCATAAGCAGAGAGGAAATTCTCATCTTTAATGTGTGCTCCAATGTTACTTTTTATAATATTCCTGTGAAGGTGATATGCTTTTCTAAGAATGCAAGGGCTTTGGGGGCTGAGATATAGCCCCATGTGGTAGAGCACCTGACTAGCATGTGTGAGGTCCCACAAAAACAACAACAACAAAAAGTGAGTGCTAGTGTCTCACACCTGTAATAGTAGCTACTTAAAAGACAGATTGGGAGGATAGCAGTTGCAGGCTAGCTTAGGCAAAAAAGCTCACACAACTTCATCTCAACAAAAAGAAGCCCAGAGCCTGGAATCAGTACCTCACACCTATCATACTAGCTACTAAAGTGGCTGAAATTCTGAGGAGTGAGTTTTGAAGCTAGCCCAGACAGAAAAGTCGACGAGACTTATCTCAAATTAACCAGTAAACTGGGTGCCGGTGGCTCATGCCTGTAATCCTAGCTGAGATCTGAGGATTGCTGTTCCAAAACAGCCCTGGCAGGAATGTCTGTGAGACTCTTATCTCTCCAATTAACTACCAGAAAACCAGAAGTGGTGCTGTGGCTCAAGTGGTAGAGCACTCACCTTGAGCTAAAGAGCTCGGGGAATGAACCCAGGCCCAGAGTTCAAGACCCATGACCGACAAAAACAAAAACTAACCAGCAAAAGTCCAGAAGTAGAGGTATGACTCAAGTGATAGAGCATCAGCTTTGAGTGGAAGAGCCAAGTAAGAGCTCAAGGCCTTGAATTCAAGCCCCAATAATGGCACCAAAGAATAAATAAAAAATTTTAAAGTAACAATAAGCCAGGCACTGGTGGCTCACACTTGTAACCCTAGCTACTCAGGGGGCTGAGATTTGAGGGTCATAGTTCGAAGCTAGCCCAGGCAGAAAAATCTCCATGAGATGCTTATCTCCAATTAACCACTCAAAAAACGGAAGTGACACTGTAGCTCAAGTAGGAGAGTGCTAGCACAAAGAGGCTGGTACAGTGAGCAGGCCCTTAGTTCAAGCCCCATGACCAACAAAATAATAATAATAATAATAAAGCTCAATGGTTTTGCCTCTCAGCCTCAGGTATAATACATTTTTTCTGATAAATCTTCCACTTAAAGTTAGAGGAAGATCTCTTTCCTTTTCTCTTACATACAGACATGTTCATTCATCATATTAAGCATATATATTACGTCAGACTCTCTACAGACAGTGGTAAGCAAAAGAAGAGATGGTTTTTGTTCTGACAGACTTACAGTCAGTGACAGAAGTACAAAACATTTAAGTGCAAATCAGAGCAATGATGAAAGAATTGTGTGTATTGCTCAGATGGTATAACCTTGCAGGGACCTGGTGATTAAAATAGCACCTGAAGATGGGAGATCAAAGGGAGGAGGTGAACATTTAGTACAGAGAAGACTCTGTCCAGGGGGCACATAGGATAGCTCTGCATGGCCCCAGTGTTTGAAGCAGCCATGTCTGATGGGATCAGCCTCTAGGGGAGAACAGTGATCTGACTTTGGAGGTAAAGTATCCATTTGGTTCCACAGGCCAAATTCTTAGTCTTAAACGTAGTCATAGAAATAGCATTGGATGGTAATGTTTGTAATACTTTTTAGGTTACATGTTTATTTTTAAACTTTTGAACAACAAAGCTTTAATTCTTTGTCTCTTAGTACTTCCCCTCCTGCTTTGGAGGCAGACTGAAAGGGAAGTGATACCATGAACTGATTCGATGTTGACTTGCATTTATTTCATTTCCGTTGTCATTCACATGTCATTTATGTTCTTATGTTTTATTAATACTACTTTTTATTATGTATTCTGTTTTCATAATTGCTTTCATTATCTTGAATTGAAATCTCAAGGATCCATTCCTCCATCCTTCTTGCTTTGTTTTGAAGTTTGTATCAGAGTAGGAGAACAGCAGACAGGCCTGTGTGTCACATTCAGTTGTTTGATTTCCTGATGCATTCTTTGTCTTTTTGTTTTATGTGCAAAGATCAGCATATACCAAGTGGGAAGACAGGAGTAACAGTAGGAACTAGATCCTCAATCTCTTCCACTCATTGGAATGAGCACTCTGAAACTCTGCAGTCACCAGTTTTAATTGCTACAAAATAATGAAAGAAGATAATATAGATGTCATAGGAGTTTACTTGTTTGTTTGAAATAAAAACTGTTAGATCTGTAACAGTTTATATACATATATATATACATATATATACATATATATATGTATATATATATATATATATATATATATATACATCTTAGGTTTTAAATCCATAGGAACCAGCTTTCTTCTCTGGTAGCATTTACCTTGATGCCAATTCAGAGACTCCTGCAGGTTCACTACTCAAGAAATTTCTGGCTGTGTAGTCTCTGCCACACCTGTAGGCTTCCCTTACCATTGCTAGTCACCCTGCCTCAAGATAACAGTTCTTAGAATAAAAATAAAGATGCAATAATGTGGCTTTTTAAGTTATTAACTCTATTTCATTCATATTATCCTGCCTTTTTTTTGTCTCCTGGTTTCTGTCTATTGGGAAAGAATCTTGGTAGTTTCTTATATTTAAAGGTTAAGCCCTTCAATTGTTTCCTTTCCCTACCAGCCGTTTTCGCAGAGCAGTGTCTCAAAGGTCTACTTCCAACTGTTACTCTTCTACCTGCAATACAATTCTTACAGAGATTAATTTGGTGTAAGTTGGTCTTTGTCAGCTGTCTTGACAAACATTTGCATTTGTATGTGTTGTCAAAGCTGAAAAAAGCAACTGGAGGCAGTTTGAAAGGACAGAACTGAGAGGTGATTTTAAGACAAGGCCTAGAAGCCGGCTCACTTGAGAGAAGATAGTCTCAGTGCGCCTGAGAGCCGGCTTGTCCCTCTTTGGGATTCTCTGATATGTGGTTTTCTGCCTTCTGACTCCAGGGCATTTGTGTACCTGAGCAATCTGCTGTACCCTGTGCCCCTGATCCACAGAGTGGCCATCGTCAGTGAGAAGGGGGAAGTGCGGGGGTTCTTGCGGGTCGCTGTGCAGGCCATTGCAGGTGGGTACTCCTCCTGTGTATGAAGGTTCTAGGTCTTGTCTAGGCCAGGTCTATGAGGACCACACTTCAGTCACGAACACAAAAGGTGGTGTTTGTCCAACTTGGAGAAGGCCTTTCTTGCTTCCTTTTTAGATTCTTTTCCCCCCCAAGTATCATAAATTAATTCTGTTTAGTCCAGGCTCCAGGTATTTTGGAATAATAGAGTAAAGAGTTTTCCTTTAGCTCAGCACCAATGGCTCACACCTGCAGTCTTAGCTTTTCAAGATCAGAGGACCTAAGTTGGTTTGAGGCCAGCCTGAGCATTAGAGTCCATGAGACTCTTACCTCCAGTTAACCATCAAAACAAAAGTGGAGCTGTGGCTCAAGTGGTAGAGCGCTAGCCTTGATTTGAAAAGCTCAAGGACAGTGCCCAGGCCCTGAGTTCAAGCACAAAAACAAACAGCAGCAAAAACAAAACCAGTTCTTGCTGGCTGCCAGTTGCTTACACCTGTAATCCTAATTACTTGGAAGACTGAAAAGGAGAGTCATAGTTTGAAGCTAGCCCAGTCAGAAAAGTTCAGGAGACTCCCTTTCAACCCATAGCTAGGCCTGTTATCCTCAGCTATATGACAGGCTGAAATTAGAGGTCAGGGATTGTAGCTGCAGACCAGCCCAGGCAGACAAGTGCAAGACTCCATGTCAACAGAGGGAAGCTGGATGCAGTGACACATGCTTATCATCCCAGCCCAGGAGGCAGATTGTGGTCCAGGCTCATACCTGAGCAGCAAAAAATAGGTATGGAGGCATGGCTTAGTGATAGAATGCTTACTTAGCAAGCATGAAAACCTGAGTTCAAACCTCTGTACTAAAAGAGAGTGAGAGAATAAAACTAGTTATTTACTAAACAGTTCTCTTTTTTATTTTTTAAATTTTTTATTGTGGGATTATAAAGGTGATATACAGAGTAGTTACAGTTAAATAAGTCAGGTAAAGAGCACATTTCTTTTTTATTATTATTATAAACGTATTTTTTATTGTGAAAATACTGTACAGAGGGGTTACAATTACATGGGCAAGATAATGAGTACATTTCTTATCAAGCATTGTAGCCTCCTCCTTTGTTT